TTATATAGATATCAAGAATACAACATATGCAGTATGTAGATCATATATTGAATTCGCTCTGCTTTAACCGACCCCCATATTGGAATATCCGTAGGTGCAGTTCACGTGATCTGGTAGGTGTCCGGAGACTTTCCCAGCTGCAGGGGAAGTCGGATCAGCAGACCAGTGTCACATGACTGTAGCGTTGTGAGATAAATATTTAAAGGCTGGGCGCATGAAGTCGTTTGTTTGTGCTTTTTCTTTGTTGTCGCCCGAAAGTAATACTTTCTGGCTCTATCGAAGACTCCCACCCACCCACCGCTTAACCTCCAGTTATTCCAGCGCTACTCTACAGGGCTGAGAGCAACTTGCACTGCCAAACCCCACAGAAAGTAGTTTGGGAAACCAGATGTTTACGTGCTGTGATTACGCCACACCGTTCTCGTGCGGCTGTGTACTCCCCACACCGCTCTCAAAATTGAATAGGGTAAATAGACCAATGATGGTGGGCGAAAGTAATATGATGTCATAAAGCGTACACTGCCTGTTTATTGTTGTAGTTGCTGAGGCAGCAGCACTATCCCATATTGCAAATAAGTGGTTCATTCTGCAAATGATCCCAAGCGAAAATAATAGGCATCAGTTCACTTTTATATCGATCATTACTGCATTATATCGAAAAAAATGGCAAGGTATTTTAGATCCTGTAAGGTTACGGTCTTCTAACCTTACAGTACTGTATTTAAAATATTTGTAGGAAAGCTTGCATGCAAATTGATAGGTTGTTATTTAACAGCGATACAAAATTCTGAATATCATAGCGATAGTTAACATATTTTGGATTATTTTTTCATACTAATATTCAAAAGAAAAGGTCAAACATAAGGTATTCATATGTTATCAAAAATCTGCTAGTGGAATATGCAATCTTGGTGATTGTTATAAAGATGGAATTGGAGTTGAAAAGGATGAATACAAGGAATTAATTTATTATCAAAAATCAGCAGAAATTAGTGATACTGGTGGTGGAATGTGTAATCTTGGTAATTGATATAAAGATGGAACTGGAGTAGAAAAGAATGAACATAAGGAATTTATTTTTTACAAAAAATCTACAGATGTGGTGATGCTGATGGAATATGCAAGCTTGGTAACTGTTATAAAGATGGAATTGGAGTAAAAAAGGATGAATATGAGGCATTCATTTATTATCAAAAATCTACAGAGATGGGACATGCTGATGGAACATATAATTTTGTATTTTGTTATTGAGATGGAATTGGGAAGAATGTAAGTCATTAATTGAATGTGTAAAATCTGCCGGAATGAACATGCTGAAGGAGTGATCGAAGTTGGCCATGGTCATAAGGATTAAATTTGTGTCGAAAAGGTGTGTGTAACTCATTTATTCATTATCAAAAATTTGCAGAAATGGGAACATTTTAAGTTTGAAAATATTTTTGTGAGGAAATTGGAGTTGAAAAGGATGAAATAAGACATTCATTTATTATAAAAAATCTGCAGAGTTGGGATACGCTAGTGGGATAAATAGACTTGGTGACTGTTATCTATTGGACTTGAAATAAACATAAAAGTATTCGTAAATCTGCTGCAATAGGGCACGCTAATGGAATTAATAGTCTTGGTGATGTTCTATTGTAGGAATTGGAATTGAAAAGAATGAACACAAGGCTCATTTGTTATCGGAAATCAGCAGAGATGGGAGCGCTGGAAGAATATTTTAGGCCCTACAGCAAAAGAAGCGGATGGGACAAAAATTATTTTTAAAAAAACTTAAATATCTTGAAGAATTAGACCAACTAAAAATCTAGTTTCTGGCTCATCCACACCTTATCCTGTAATTAATATGAGGTGTTATTATTAAAATGGAATTGGTGCTGAAAAAGGTAAACGCAAAGCATTTATTATCAAAAATCAGTCATGCTGGTGAAACATTAAATTTTTGTTTCAAATAATATAGTATATAATTATATCAATCAGTTATTATTTAAAACAACTTTGCATACTTATATGAATGCCTCCAGGGACTCCAGGATTCATTTATGAAAATTCTAATCAGTACGTATATATGTAACGTATAACAGTATAATATGTAGTTAAAGTTTTAGAATGTAATATAATTGAAAGCCTGATGACATATTTTTCCTTGGTAGCGTTCATATGCAAAGATATAAAATTTCTAAACCTAGTTTTGAGCGCTACGTTACACTCTTGCAATTTAAGTTACTGCACCACATTATATACGTATTGATATCTGCAAAAATGTCGAAATTTTAACGTTAATTTTTTCAAATGTCGCAAATTGGTACTAAATTACTTGAGCGATTCTCTAATGATTTTGCACAACTTCTTGAAA